TCCTCAGACATGCAGGTTTCCTTACGATGTTTTCCTTTACTGCCGAGCACGTGGTATACCAGCACTTAAAATTGCAATTAACAATTTCATTGGTGCCGGCGGGAATCGAACCCGGGTTACTCGCGTTCTGTTATATTTACAGCGAGCGTTAACCATCTGAGCTACCATGGTTCTTCATCATGTCATGTCACGTTTGCGGCAGCCTTAAGGTCTCCCGCCTTTGATCCACCGTAGTCTTTTATTGGGTTATTACGATAACGGTGATAGAACAATACTCCTTTAAAATTCTAGATTGTCATTCTAAAATGGACGAGTGATATGTTTCTGTACTATAGACCGTCACCCAGTCGCTTTTGCAACGTATACAAATTAAAAAACAATAACAAAGAAATTTTCGTACAATATGACCTTACATAAATATTATATTTCTCATAAAGTTATATTTATTATACTCGCGTTCGTGTTTATGTCATCTATAAAAAAATGTTTGTCGCGAAATTAAAACCTATGCAGGTGGCCTAGACCTAAGGCATTATTTGAGGGCCACCAATACTGAGAAGTCATTGATTTTCTAATACTTTTGTTTGGTATTTTCGTTTTGTGTAAAGCAAATTTAAAAAAAAATACGAGTAGAATTATTTCTCAAATTATAGGAAAATTGGAGGGCGCCATTTAACATTAACCTCCTTTTCGTAAAAATGTGAAGCGATTATCGTAGCAGTACACAACAGCTATTGAACAATAAAGTACATTACAGAAAAACGTCAAAAAATTTTTAAAGTTAATTTGAAAAAGTAGTCATCTGCAGCCTTAAATGTAAGTAAAAGTATTGTACAATATTTTTGCCTTCAGGTTAGTTCTGAACGGAAATAAATTCAAAATTTAGGACCGCAAAACTGATGATTTTAAAAGAAGACAAAAAGAAATAATCAAAGATAATAGAGATATTTTTGGACTATCTTCATCTTAATACCATTGCAATATCTCAAAGTTTTACATAAATTCTACGGACACATAAACATACTACTAGTCGGGAATAGCCAGTGTTTAAGAAAACAAACAATTCATTCAAACGTTCTTGTTGATAAAGTTTGAAACACGTTGGTATTACTTGTGTACATGTTATTGTACGCAATATACACATTTATATTCTAACTGTATTATACGTATATATAATATGGTCATACAAATATATATTAGAGACTTTGTCTCAATATCCATAGATAGTCAAGTTGGTAGTGCAATACCAACTTAACTTTAATTAATTCTCTGATCCCACTAAGGCTAAAAAAATTGTGAATGTTTGAAAATTGTTAGACTTGAAATATCGACTCAGGCAATAAATATGTCGTCTGCATCTAGAAACAACATAAATAATATATCTATCATCTAGTAATAACATAACGTAAGAACGTATATATCTCCTATGGTAGAAGAATAATGCCAGAATCTGGTACCGCTGATCACTACGTAAAATCTCTAAAAAAGGGAAAAAATTCACGCTCTTTAATGAACTAGGAGATTGTCTATGTATGAACCACCGTCTTATTTACAATACCAAGCATCAGTAGATTCACTTTTCGGTATAAAGGTAATAGAAAGTCAGACCAATTACACATAGTCCATCTCATCATCTTGTCCTCAGAGGTGTCGACGTATCTACGAGTTTTTTTGTTCGATCTTGTTTGCAGGTGCCATGACCTGCAGTAGCTACTTATTGGCTATTAGCTTGTTTATCACTGTAGTATTATAAAAAAGAACATACTTCTCATACGCATACGCAGTGGCTTAGCAATGAGTGGCTGCGCTGGGGGTCGCGGGTTCCAATCCCGCACGGATCAAGTATTTGTATGGCCTACAAATAATTGTTCCGGGTCTGGATGTTTGTCCTTGTGCAATTTATGTTTGTAAACTCCCCCCACGATACAGGAGCAAATCCTTGTGTAGGGGTAACGTTAAATAAAAAAAAAACGAAAACGAAACTAAAGAAAGACAAACGAATACACAGTTCATCTGAATAGTGTGGCCCATAGATATCAACATTTATCCTCGATTGAGAAATAAAATGCAGATGCGTTGTCACCCTTGAGGACTGAGATGGAATGCTACTATTCCAGTTAAAAGGGTATCCGGTTTTCTACACCCACCATACAAACACAGCAGCATTAAGCTGCTATTTAACGTTGTTATTCTGTGAGAGCGTGGTCCTAACCCGGTCGAGCCGACCCAGTCGTGCTACAACCATAATAAAGCATAATATAGCACCTATTTTCGTTATATTAAATTTTATGAAACATTTACTGTATTAAATTGAGTTGAACTTAATTATTATTTTCAGCATATTAACGTAGGCCGTAAATGGATGGGCAAAAGTGATCTTTCTTAGTAATCGAAAATGATAACATAGTCATGTGATATGTTTGGTATCAAAAATACAAAATACGAGTACTTTATGGAAAGTACAAAGTTGTGCGACTCTACACTTTACCTTTGCCACGTAATTTAGGACTAAATAAAAATAAAATAGGAACGCATCCACAGTTCCCTTTCCGCGCTCTAATTAATGGTTGTCTTACTTTAGGACCGCTTGTGACTCCAAACGCAATTTAAAACAAATATTTCACCTCATCAAAAGGCGTTTGTTGTGAGTCAAGATGTTTGCAAGTTTTGTTAGTAATCCCTGCACACAAAGAATGTTGTTGTTGGATTGTATACAGTGTAAACAATCTTCACACAATACGGTATTTAGTACAGGCATAATGGTACATAAAATCTAAATGAAAGCTTTCTGTAGTGATTCCATTTACGTAATGGAAAAAATTCACGCAAAATAAACATTTTAACATCTAACCTATAGGACAATATCATTTAAGATAAGGATTTTATCAATTGAATCCAGACTATAAGGCGTGGTAGGATACCAAACACATAGATATAAATGCTTAATGGAAACCACTCGTAAAGTATTCAGAAAGGATTTACTGATTTTTTTATTTAACTAAAAGTGATAAACATACTCTACATTAATCCACTGCGCTCCGTAAAAATGTATGTAACCGATCTTTAAGCAAAATCATGATGGTGTTGCTTCCTCCACCATCATGATTTTGTCGTGTCAGATGTTATTATTATTTTAATATCAGTACTTCATACTCTAATTTAGAACACTCAATCATCTCATTTTCCGCTTTCTCTACGTCTCTAACAATACTTTACGTGTACTACAGGTGACCTCCAATCTATTGCATCCGGTTACCTTATAGTACTGTAGTATCACTGAATATTTCGAGGGTACTCCGTTCATAATTTTCACCGAATTTGTCTAGTCTTTTATCATTACAACAGGAAAAAAATTATTGGAGTACCGTCTAATGAGGTAGACGACTAGTTCTGCGACTGCAAATTCACTAAAAAATCAATAAAAAGTGTCTATGTTCTAGTCATATATTTCTAAATATTATTGTTGCTTTAAATTGTTTGAAATAGTAAAAAAAACTGCAATTTAGCTTTATAAAGGGGCAGTAATGTTTTGAATATTTCTAGCTATGGGACATATGTACCATAATGTCGGTGTCGAGAAAGTTTTCCACAACCTGAAAGGAAATTAATCCAACCTTATTTGTTATTGCAATGAAATGACGTAAATATATCAATCATTAAAGTGATTCAGAATAATTTGATAGCCATTTAACGATATTATATTTATAACTAAAGACAATCAAGGTCGTTCGAGAATACAAATGATTCATTTCAGAAATTTGACCACTTCCTAATATATTAATGAAACACGTAATGGGTTAATCAAAAATTCCTCTTCCAACACTTTTACCATAGAATACTATAATACACAATAGAATGGCTGTCAACCTTATTTTTTACGAAGATAGGCGTCGCCGGGAGCACACATACAAGCAATTACGTCATATTATCACTACTAAAAACCCGATTCGCTGTGTTGACAGACAGATTTTAATGCGTATTTATTTGTAAATAGCGTGCAATTTGGCATTTTCTAAATAATTTGCATGCAAAATTTGGAAACGATTGTAACGTCAAAACACATCTTGTGTTGACATTTATGCGTGTGAATTGACGTGTTAGTGACATTTTAGTGGCTATACGGGCTCTGCCCACTCCCCCGTTCTATTATGTATGTAATTATAGTATTCTATGAGTTTTACTAATCGTATTTACTACTACTACTAACTACTACTAATCGTATTACCGTTACAATAACACATTCCGTATTTTTCAAATTCAGTGAATAAAGTTAACGCAGAGTTGCTGTTATTCTAAGAGTGTTTGGCTCACGAGTACGATGAAGTCATTTACATTTGAAACACGGTAATTTCGTGACAAGAGAGTGGGATCAATGTCCGAATAAGCAATTACTACAGATACAAACACCAATTATAATTGTTTGGTGCATGAACATTTCTATTCTCATTGTGTACCTCTATTTGATGGGCACATTCACATTCGAGTTTATAATTTTTAACTTTACTCAAAAACTATTGTCATGTACTATGTGGTAAAACAAATCAATTTCAATCCTCAGTGGAACTAATGGAATTGTTCGGTACAATTTTAAGCGTTCATTAACCACGTCATCGACGATCCAGGAAACATCATCAAAAATGTTTGTTTGAGATATTGAAATATTTTTTGTAATAATTTTTTGTAATAATTTTATGTATTATACATATAAAAATTTGGAAGAAGTAAAAACAATCCATAAAAATACGTGAACCTCATTGTTAGGAAAGAAAAAAAGAAGAAAAAAAGTTTTGTTGGCCACTTCAAACCAATATACAGAAACGAGCGAACTATACTGAAAATTAATTAGTAATTAATAACTAATTTAATTATAGCAACGAAAAGGCAACCTTGAATTTATAGGTATAAATTGTCTAACGCTACGCTAGGCATTCAAAAAATTAGATCCTAATTTTTTTTTATTGAATCAGGGTGACGTACTGATATGAAACTTTTATTTGCAGATACCGCCAAGCTCGATACACAGCGAGACGTGTCAGAAAACGCGTCATCTTCAAGCATGGAGACTGCAATGTCGTCCAATGGAACGTAGCCAAGCGCAGGCGCCGATACCTTCAGGACATCTTTACGACCCTCGTGGACGCTCAATGGCGCTGGACGCTGATGGTGTTCTCTCTTTCCTTCATTCTCTCCTGGCTACTGTTTGCGCTTATCTGGTGGCTAATCATCTTTACCCACGGAGACCTGAACCCTCCGCCCCCAAGCAACACAACCACCTTCGTCCCCTGCCTTAATAATGTCAATTCCTTCACCGGTTGCTTCCTCTTCTCCGTTGAAACTCAGCACACTATCGGTTATGGCTCCAGAACCACAAATGAGGAATGCCCTGAAGCTATATTTGTCATGTGCATTCAGAGCATTGTTGGAGTGTTCATTCAAGCTTTCATGGTAAGAATTTATATTTTATTCAACGCTACAATAATTTACTTATTGTTTAAAGTTATAAGGAGAAGCCTGTAGTAGTGACTTGCATTTATTTTACTAAAAATACAGTAAGGGTAAAAACAAGCACACAGTCTACCTGATGGTAAGAAAGCTATGGCCAATAAACGTCTACATTTATCCTCGATTAATCAAAATGCGTTAAAATGAATTAAAAAAAATCAAAATGCAGATGAGTTATCATCTCTAAAGACTAAGATTAAACGCCTTGTTTCCGGTAAAAGGGTCTTACTAAATCGAGAGTACTTGCTCTGAATTAACTAAACATAAAACTTATTTCATTGTACCTCGTAGTGGAGATGTGAGTCTCGTAAATGGCAACTTTGGGAAATGCCATAGAAATATGACGACTTTCGTTAAATATCAGTATAACGATCTCGTTTATTACGTCACATAAAATATCCAAACCAGCGACGAACAACCACGTCATAGTTGCGAGACGTTTGGCACCACGATCAGCAATGGGCATGCCAAGCACGATGATTAATCTTTTAACTTTTTACAAAACGTTACCCCCACACTAGGATTAATTCCTGTAATGGTCGCCACACACGGTCAGTTCAAATGATCATTCCAACTGATCTGTTCAAACTGTTGATGTTTTTTAAAATAGTGGATTTTCGATATATCGATAAATAAACCTATATGTAAACCTCCGATATTGATATATTTATAATATAATGATCGATATATCGAAAATCCGATATTTTAAAAAATATCAGTCATATCAGTTTCAGTTTGAACTGATCAGTTAGAATGATCAGTTGAACTGACCGTGTGTGGCGACCATAAGAAAAAGAAAGAAAAATTGTTTATTTTTTCTTAATTCAAAGAATGACACTACAAACGAATCATATATCTTTATTCAATTCTTTAATAATGATCTCCTGATCGATTTAAGAATTAACGGATTCAGAACTCGATATCAAACAATTTGTATTATGTGCAAATGTATATGCCTCCGGCCACAACTGGGAACCCTTGACCCACGATGGGTAATAGTTGGCTACACGGTTAAGTCAGTATTAAGATACCAAAAACTGAATATTTCTAGCATCTGCACGGTACTAGCATTACTATTTCCTTGCCATCTACTATTTTTAACGTAAACCGTGTGGAGGACAATTTGTAACTATGCCGAAATTAGTAATGAGTAACGTTTACCGCATGGTGACGGCCTGTTCTGTGGTAGCGTGTGTCGTAAGTGTCGACCTCCACACCAACAACTAATGAGGCCCATTCAGCAATGGATTTTTCGGACTGATAAAAAAATATCGTTTTAATAGAGTTTATCGTACGTATATTTATAAACTGAAATCCGATAAGTTTTCCAACTATATTGAAAAATACTGACTGTCGTGTAAAGGGTTATTAATTCTTGTAATAAATTCCGATTGAAATACCTTCCTGCTTCGAAGCGAATATATTATATTCGTAATAATATAAACTTGGAATAGATCCAAGTGTATTAACGCACTAAGTGATCTATAGATGCTTTCTTAAAAATCATTACAAAAAGACGTCACCATGTAGCACGAATGGGTCGGCTCGACCAGGAAGGACCACGCTCTGCTGTGTTTCGTATGGTGAGTGTAGAGATTCGGAGACCATTTTTTACTGGAAACGAGACATTCCATCTTAGTCCTCAGGGGTGAAAACGCATCTGCGTTTTGATTTTTAATCGAGGATAAATGTAGATATCTATGGGCCACAGCATCCACTTACGATCAGGTGGGCCGTGTGCTCGTTTTTCACCCTCATTCTATTTAAAAAAAATGTTTTTTTTTTAAATTACATTTATCTGAAATGTGTCAAGAATACTAAACCACGTTGATTGTGTTTGCCTTATCTATTTTGCAAGCCAGGCACGTCTTTAGTGATAGCGATGTTTCGAAACGTTATTGGGGTCAAAAGAACAAGTGGTCTTGTCCATCCGTTTTGCGCGCTGCTATTACGGTGCTCTACAAATTGTTCTAATTTTAGGTGGGAATCGTCTTCGCAAAGCTCTCTAGACCAAAGAAACGGGCCCAAACGCTGCTGTACTCCCGAAATGCCGTCGTTTGCTTACGAGACGGCCAGTTATGCCTGATGTTCCGAGTTGGTGATATGAGAAAATCGCATATTGTAGAAGCGCATATTAGGGCACAAATTATTCGCCGCAAGGTATATTATTACAACAATGCGGAGACTGGTTAGTGATTGGGGATTTCAGTCAGCACGCTTTTAAACTTCATTTAACCGGTTTGGGAAACATTGAAATCAACGCACTACATAACAAAGATGTCGAATTTTGAAGTATTAAGTACCTAGTAGATAGCAATAAGGAAGTAAGAAAATATTAGATTTCGATTATATTCGAAATATTATGAATTCGATATCACTGTTTTTGTATTGTCCTTAGGTGGGTCTTATATTCGCGAAGCTAGCGAGGGCCAAAAAACGAAATACCACGCTCCTCTTCTCAAGGAACGCGGTGATATGTTTAAGGGACGGGGAATTTTGCCTTCTATTCCGAGTGGGAGACATACGAAAGTCGCATATCCTTGAAGCGCATGTGCGCGCCCAGATTATTCGGAAAAAGGTACCACTGATAGTGCGTTTCTTGAATATTCTGTTCATTTTCTGCCGTTGTTTCGATGTAATGAAATTGTTTTAATTTTGCACCTATGTATGCCCTTTTTTGCTATAATATCAAGACCCATCTATGGATAATCATCAAGTCTATCACACACTACTTGCCTATACAACATCATTTGCAGTTAACATTCATTTGTTTTGCTAACAAAACATTGCATGTCTTGGAATGAATACTTATAATTTATCTTAAATGGCATGTGATGTTTAGAAATACACTAATGACATTTTAACGTCTACCTCCTTAGAAATTGTTTGCTTGCTCACGCTTTCTTGAAATAATACTTGAGTAATAACATACAAGTACGTGTTTTTATTTACTCTGAGTACTTTAAATTCAATTACTCTTTGGTTTTCCATGAAAAATACGACAATTGTTAATTATAAAATATCTTAATCTTACACTGGTATCATCATACACGGGTAAGTGTGAGATTCAGGTATTTTTAAGAAAATAGAATTTTATCGGAAAATTATAGTAAAGTTGAAAAATAAATACATATTTGAAACCTAAAAGCTATAAATTTTTAGCAAATTAAAACTACAGGTTTTTTGTTTTTTAATTTGTTGAAAATAAAAATTATTAGTATTATTTCTATTCTCGCTTCAAGCTTACAATTATTTAAAATGTTTGTTTTACATCCGAGGTTGTGGTAACATGGTAATTAATATCAGTCTCTTTTAACATCTTGATCTTTTTTTTGTAATTTTATACAAATATATATTAATACTCTTGATACATCTTCAGATAACACGAGAAGGCGAGGTACTACCATTTTACCAGGAGGAGCTGAAGGTGGGTGCGGATGGTGAAGAGGACAGGTTGATGTTCATTTGGCCCATGACCATAGTGCATAAGATCAATGAGAAGTCGCCGCTCTACAATCTTTCTGCTTCTGATATGCTGAGAGAACGATTTGAGATAGTAGTTATGTTGGGTAAGCTATGTAATAGACAATTATTTATTTTTATATTAGTAATTATATTAAATTTATAATGTAATTTTGTTGATATTAATTTATGAAAAATTTTGTTAAAAGAATTAACTTAAAAGTTAATAACATAAAATCGTATAATCATACGATTTTATATTATTAACTTTTAAGTTAATTCTGATTCACTGATATTATACATTTTCAACTATTTTAAATCTTATTACTTATATAAAGAAGTTGTATTCGTTTTTACTTATTGTATACAGCATTAAATACATCACAGATATAGTTTCTACTTTATTTGTCCTTCATTTCAGTTTTTAAATAAGCTACTACTGAAAATGGGCTCTCCTCCTCTCTTTCTATTTTATTTCTTCTTTATTGGTTTACTAGCTATAGCTAATTCTAAAAAATCGCTCGTTTCTCTGTACGCACGGATGTAAAGTAAAATAGCAAGATTTTTTTTGATAGGAATAACGTAAAAAACACTAAATTCCAAGTCAATCAGATTTATAGTTTTTGAAATCTCGAATCTTGTGATGAGTCAGGCAGTCTCAGTGGTATTTCGCTTATATATAGTATATATATAATTTTTTTTTTATATATATATATATATTATATATATATATTTGGTGATACAAGTTAAGAGTGACTATTAACTTTCTATGCGTAGCACTTTGAGAAAATTTTCCATTTAAATCTACTTGATAAATCGTATTTTTTCAAGTAAAAGGCATTTGTTAATCTCCAACAGCATTCAGTTACTATATTTTTTTACCTAAATCACTCCATTCCATTCCATTCTTCCAGCCGATAAAAGTCTACTGCATGGCCTATGTTCCCTCGTAGATTTTGCTATAGTTAGATTATCACGCTGAGCAATCGCAGTTTATTTTTTATTTTGGATTGCCTTTATTAAAAAACTTCTGCCAAGTTCCTGTTTCGGTTTCCCGCGTTCGCCTGTTACGACATGTGATGGATATTCTTACACCGACGCCTCACCGTTTTGTCACTAATTGTCACCAATTTACAAAGATTATATTACGTCCTTAAACAAGAATCTTGCATAAATATATTTGTTTCTTCAAAAAGTGAAAATATCTATTACAACTGTCGCATCTATGGTTTCACTACAATCTACATTTACTCATACTTGGCACTTCCCCGACAGCGTTTTGGTAGTTTGCCCTAAACTTTGTATAAGAATATGTACCCACATATTTATCTAGATTATTTATATTCGTGTAGCATTTGTTCAACATACGCTATTATTAATGTGTCAATTGAGCATACTATACTATGTATATACATTTACACATACATCCTTCATTGAACATAAACAAGGAAATGTGATGAATATGAAAGAGAAGAATACTTCAAATATATAATTATAAATTTATTATAAGTTTAATTATGATATTTAATAGTTTTTGCCTATTAGTTCTTATTCCATAAGAAGCCAGTATCAATCAAAACTGTGTTCAAAACATGCTCTCACGCACTTAAAAAGGGTGGTTTGTAAATTTTTAAACATATTTACATAGATATTTTAACGGTGAACCACGCTGTAGGTTGTTAAAGCTGCAACAAGAATAGGACAGGTGGGTCAGGAAAGGACCATGCCTCACAGAGTAACAGCTTAAAATAAGAGCGTAATTCTACTGTGAACCGTATAATAAGTACCAAGAACCGATGGGCCACTTGTTTGTCACCCCAGCTTAGACCTCAGGAGTGACAACATCTGCGTTTGATTCTTATATATTATAAATAATAGACACACACGTAGGATTATTATAAATTTAGAATTTATTTCCTTCTATAACTATGTTAACTTTGTAACACTTGGTGATTGGGTTCCCATATAGATAGGATATAGAGATAGGGTTTATTAAATCTTATCTATTGGGGAGTTCCTTATTCAAAAATTAATAGACTATTGAGGTGTTAACAATGACCAAATGAGGTCTGGCGGTTTATTAGCAATGAACGATTATTTTCTTATTTTCAGAGGGTGTAATTGAATCGACTGGAATGACCACGCAAGCACGTAGCAGCTTTTTGCCATCAGAAATTCTATGGGGACATCGCTTTGAAACCATGGTGTCATTTAGAAAAGATACTGGAGAGTATGAAGTGAGTAGTTTTATTAGCCTACATTGGCTTATTATTATATCGTCGATAGATTTAATGATCGTAATTATACTCGTTAGTTTGTGAAATGTCGGAGGTAAATTGTAAAGTGTAATTTATCTATGACTACTGGTAAATTTGCCAAAAACACGTAATCACCTGTCAAGTAATATCAAGTACAACAGGTTGCTCACCTACGCTGTTAGGTGGTCCTTCTGTAATATTTAAATTAGGCACAAACTGATATGGTGGATACATTTTTGGCCAAATTTTAAAATGGCGGCATACTCTTTTTTATAAAACCGAAGTAACAAACGAACCTCCAGTCTACTTGATGGTGAGTGACTACTGCAGTTCAAGACGTTGTAGAGCTATGTTTCATACGTGGTAGAGCTACGCTGCAGCTATACTATGGTTGTATCACGAATGGGTTGGCTCGACCGCGGAAGAACCGCACTCTCACAGATTACCAGCATAAAATAGCAGCTTAATACTGCTGTGTTTCGTATGGTGAATGTACCGATCCGGAGACCCATTCTACCGCATTCCACCTTTGTCTTCAGGGGTGACAACGCATCTGCGTTTTGATTCTTAATCCAGGATAAATGTAGATGTCTATAGGCCACAGCATCCACTTACCATAAGGTGGACTGTGTGCTCGCCCTTATTCTATAAAAAGACGTCTGCAGCCCAATTTTTATAGGAAAGGGGCATACGAGCATGCGGCTCACCTGATGGTAAGTGACTACCGCCGCCCATGGAAAACTGCAAAACTAGGGGAATCGCATCTGCGATTTTTTAATATTTTAATTTTTTAAAAGGTCGGCAACGCATCTGAGTTGCCGACCTTTTAAAAAAGAGTAGGCTCTTTTCTTGAAGGTCTTTAAGTCGTATCGATCCGGAAAATTCTCTGGTGGTAGTCGGCTCTACAAGGAAGTTGTGCGAGGAAGTTTAAATAATGAGGGCTTCAAACAATAAGGGCTACAGGTGTATTGTCATCTCTGAGAATGCCGCTTAGCCAGTAATTATACTGACTCTCTTTACGTAAACCCGAGGAAGCTCAGATGATTAGCTCTCGCTGTAAATTTCACAGTACGCGAGCAAACCGGGTTCGATCCCCGGCGGCAATAATGAAAATGTTAATTGCAATTTTAAGTGTTGATTTACCACGTGCTCGGCGGAGAAGGAAAACATCATCAGCAAACCTGCATGTCTAAGAAATAAGACAAAAAAATATTTCGAAGACATGTGAAGTTCGCCAACACGCATTGGGGCAGCGAGCCGGACAGTTCCTTGCCCTAAAACCATCTCAGAAATTAGGGGAAGCCTGTGCCCAGCAGTGGGACGTATATATACATATGTTTTTATTATTTTCTTGCAGTCTTGTCCATCAGGTTGTTTGGAAGAGATTGCTCTTAGCGATAAGACCGCTCATTGTACCACATTTTTTTCTCTCCTTTTTTTGTTAATTTTTTTTGGCGTGCAATTAAGTGTTATCTATGTATCCGAATATCTCGTTTCGTTCCCCAAACCGATGGGGAGCAGTATCATAGGAGGAATATTCATACAACTGAACTAAGCCTGCTAAACGTGACGATAATGGCAAATCCTTCAAAGGAGTAGGCAAATGCCTAACAGTAGATTTTAGCGGGTTTATTTAGAAGAAGATGTATTTATTGAATCTTTTAATTGCCTTTATTGATGTCTAATTGTTTTTAATTGACTGCCTACTCGATCTTCTGGTCGCAAACGTAACTGCTGATCATCTGCGTATCACTTCAGCCAAATCAGTTTTTCTGTCAAATTTATCCCGGTGTCAGGAAGTTTGTGGTGTGAACCTACAGTTGTGTCGAATTGCCGTCTCATTGGACTATTAGAGGGAAGGTTCTAGGCGACTGCGGTCCTTTTATTATCAAGCCATCCAATTCGAGCTGAATCAAATAATACATTGAGGAATAAGTAGAATTTATTGATAGAACAATTTCATAATATATTAATATTTAAAAAATAAACAATTTTAAAATATCAGTGCCATAGGCTTCTATTCCGTTTACGTGTTGCGTCCTATTTTTTTCCAGGCGGTGAAAGAATCTCACACACGCTGAAATACAATACTTATCTGGCATCCAAATTTCAATTACGGAAACTTTATACCTGCTATTTGATTTTCAGGTGGACTACACGCGGTTTAACAACACGTACGAAGTGGACACACCACTGTGCTCCGCGAAACAGCTCGACGAACTGCGCGCCACCGTCTCTACTTCGCAGAAATTAGGTAAAGGAAGTTTTAGCTTTATTACCTTTAGCTTCAGAAGTAATCGTGCAAATAAATAACTGAGATATTGTTTTTGAGAAAGATATAACGCGACAAAAAGTCTTTTTTTCGATTTTTATGGCAAAATATCTTTTATATTCTTTTTATTAGGCTCTAGGCAGTTACATAGTTATTTATACGTGGTAGAACCACGCTGCAGCTATTATATTCGCAGCACGAATGGTCAGAATACCAGCGTAAAATGGCAGCTTAATACTGCTGTGTTTCGTATGGTGAGTGTAGAGATCCAGAGACAGTTTTTTATCAGAAACGAGGCATTCCATCTTTGTCCTCAGGGGTGAAAGCGTGTCTGCGTTTTGATTCTAAATCGACGATAGATGTCTATGGGCCACAGCACCCACTTACCTTCAGATGGACTGTGTGCTCGTTTGTCACCTTCTATAAAAAATTATATGTTTAAAAAATTATATTACTTAATTTTATAAATTAATAATCGAAATCAAATTATTAATAATCGACACAGTGCGTAACAATTCACAATCCTAGCTTATCGATAACGGGAAATATTCCCAATTTTTAACAATAGACTATTACAGATCAATAACAAATGGTAAAATTAATAATTTTGTTCAACCGACTTCAATAACAACCGAATCAATGTATTCAAAGTCAATTAAATACGCTTTATTTAAGGATAACTCTAAAGCTACTTATCAGATCTTGATCAAATTTATATGGGAACACACCAGAAGCACCAGCTTTCAAATGGAAAACAATCATCAAATCGGTTCATCCAGAAAATACTTCTGAGGTAACACTCTCTCCTCTTTGAAGTCGGTAAAAAAAATTAAAAATTGTGGCACTGCTATCACCAGTACGTCTTCTAAATTACATGTTTACGGTAAATCTTACATGTCCCGTTCGTTTAAAGATTACAGTCTAAAACTTATCCTGCTTTAATTCCAAATCGTAATAATAATTAATATTTTAAAATAACTAAGCAACTTAATTGTACGTATTTAGGGATATTATTATACTAAATCGAATAAAACTATATACAAATCTACCAAACAAACATTATAAAAATAAGTGACAGTTTATATACATCCCACTTCTGGGCACATGCTCCTTCCATATCTGAGAAGATTTAGGGCAAGGAAATGTCTGCCGTGCTGCCCCAATGCGTGTTGGCGAACTTCTCGTCTTCGAAATATTTTTTTTCTCGCGATGTTTTCCTTCACCGCCGAGCACGTGGTATATCACCACATAAAATTACAATTAACAATTTAATTTGTGCCGGCGGGGATCGAACCCGGGTTGCTCGCGTACTGTGAAAATAACAGCGTACACACAAATATAGTATTGTAACATACTCTATACTACAACGTTGATAACTAAAAATAATTTCGAATTATATCAGAACGCTAATGTTTTATGAAGTAATAAGAAACAAGTCGCTCCGGCACTTGTTAATATATATTGAACTCTAAACTACCTTGGGTTACTCAGGCAAATTATATTTACTTTTTTGGAGAAATAAACAATGTTTTAAATCGTAATTCCAGATCGCATGTTAGGCACAATACCCAAGTCATTCTCTAATGACACACTGGATCTCAGCTCGGTCGACTCAATATCCCTGGACGAACACATCGAGATCAAGATCCCAGAAGCCAGAGTTCGCGAGAACAGACTTATGGCGCAGAACAACTTCGTGCAACATGTCAATGAAAAACTCAAAAACACAAGCCCCACATATTTGGCTGTCGAAAACGGCCAAGAGATGCTACCGAAAAACCTCTCCATGACTGGAATCAACGCGGAAGTGAAGACCTCCGAAACAAAAGATGGTCACATGCACAGGAGTCAAAGCCACGCCAGCTTCAAACGGCCGCACGGACTCACGCCCAACGGGATCGGGCACAACGGACACGTGCACAGGGACCACCACAGAATCAAAAAGTAAGCTAATTCACAAACTTATGCAAAATGTATTTTATAGTACCACTCGACTAAACAAATTAAACGAAAACTAAGCTAAAATGTCCTAAAGTACCGTTTTTATTACTAACACACGGCATCGATACATCCACATTCAAGTTATTTTTACCCTTGTCGAATAATAGAAGTGGAGAAATCAAGATGGGATAGCGGCAAATATTTTATTTTAATAATATTAGTGTTATGAAACGACCGAATTTCTTGGGCACCCGCAACATTCTACTTTTAGCAGTGGTCTTGTGAAGGGTTGTGATGATGACGATGATGATAAAATGAGTCCAGCTGATAGCAAGTGGCTACTGAAGCTTATTTTGATAATGATGATATATGAGCAACATTCAAACGGTACTCAAAGTATAGAAATAATCATAGAATACTATAATACATACATAATAGAACGGGGAAGTGGGTGGAGCCCGTGTAGCCACTAAAATGCCACTAACACGTCAATTCACACGTATTTAAATGTCAACACGAGATGAGTTTTGACGTTACAATCGTTTCCAAATTTCGCATGCAAATTATTTAGAAAATGCCAAATTGCACGCTATTTACAAATAAATATGTATTTAAATCAGTCTGTCAACACAGCGAGTCGGGTTTGTAGTAGTGATTAACAGATAATAAGAGGTAATTGCTTTGCTTTTTACAGATCGCCAAGCGACAACTACATTGTAGAAAAAACGCCAGTTCCACCAATACCGATATTGGTGACGTCGCCGGAGCCAGAGCCCGTATGACACAGCCGCGTCCGCTTCCAGCAGCCACTTGCGCATACACAGCATACACGTAGATAGTGACTACCCTCCTTTAAAAGATTAAGCTACCATTATACAGAAACATCTGCTACTGCTACATGACTACTATAACGAAGGCTAAAGGACTCTACATTAAAAAAATATTAAGATAATATTTGCCTAATTTTCAACAATTACCCTATGAAAAATAAATTTTACTAGTATAAAGAGCTACTTACCCATAAACTAAGAAACGTCTACAACCCTCATAAACAAATACTTACTATGTATACGATGTAAAATCTACTTTTCGCTATTCTGGGTGTTTTATATACCTTTCATGAAAGAAGAGAAAAATGAGTACGGGTTCGTAGTTAAAAATAAAATATTTTTATAGTTCAATTTAAATTCTAATCTATATTCGAAATTATGTTCAAACGTGCCGCATTTTAAGAAGCTATTTTAGTTTTAGTTAAATTGAATTATCCTTGGGTAGCAATATAAATGTGTTTACCCATAATTATTACGCTTAATTCTTTTATAGATACGAAAAAGTAAACTTGTTGTTATTTTTCTAGTTACTGTTTCTTACTCCTTTCGTTCCAAATTTAGTTATCCCTTAAAAATATATTAATTTTCTTTTACCAAATATTCACCTGAAATTATTTATTCTGTTTGTAATATTGAATAAAATATCGTAGCATTTATCACCTAGACTTATTTTACTGCAACAAAATTATAAACATTGAATAAATTTATTCTACAGACTTTATCACGTTTATAATATAAATTTAAATATATTTATTTGTCTTTAAGATAACTTTGAAGTTAAAATTAAATGCAATAAAATCTGTAAAATGAGTTTTAATCAATATGTTTTAGTATTAAAAAGATATATAAATGTTTAAAAATAAAGAAGATACAAAACAGTAAAAATGTGCCAAATAAAACAATATAATAGTGAATTGTTTTTGTTAATCTAAGTCAATGGTTTTTACTATCTTCACTTACCATCAGATCACCTTTGGCATCAGATCAAGCACTTGCAGATAAGTTTTGAAAAAACTTGATTGTTACTACGCTTTTTTTAATTTTAGCTGTCTTAAATATTTCTATGGTAATAAAAGAAGTAATATCTCGTGTTATGCCTTTCAAAATTATATTCATTTTTTAAATAAATGTATATGAGCTTGAATTCATATAATTGTGATATTAATTATTTATAACTTGCTATGACATATTTTAAAAACTTTACGGTATAATTACATTTATTATTCCATATTTAAAATAAGAAGTGAAAGTAACTTTACTACGATATATGTACATTTTCAACTAGCAAGAGTAATAACTAAAATTTACTTTTTAATTTGTCCTTTATTTTTGATCTCTATCAAAGTTTCAATTTATTATATCGAAAAATCATGTATCTCTATATTTGCACAAGCGCCTACATAATTTTAACGTAAAATTGACTAGTATCATGATGATGTCGCTCGTGAACATAGCTAAGATTAAATTGAAAAAAAAAACGTATTAAATTAACTCTGTAATATTGAGGTTATTACGTTATGAAAAAATTACAAAGCTGTATTAACGTACACGCAGAAAACACACTGTTTACTTGAAATTCTTGCTATCTTTGAATTTTACTATCGAGAATATCATTCACCATATTAATATTTTAGATCATCAATGGGTCCAAATCAAGGGATTTAAAAATATGGCAGTGTGTACCTAGTAGGCTTACTCTCGAAAATTATTTCTAATTCGATTTGGTTCTCGATTTACCTTATTTTGGGTCAAACGAGAACTCGATTGTCTCGGGGGTAGGCCTATAGTGCAGTACGTACTTTGACTGGTATTACAGTATTGTTAAGATAAATATTACGTGCTTGTGCCAAATTTACTTTAGGTATAATCCTGTGACTAGTTATTAATTGATAGTGAAATATTACCATACTGTGTAAAATAATCATTCATTGCATATTTAAACTGACTGCCAACTTATCAGAGTATTTACAACTTTATAACTAAAAATTCAAAGCTTAACAGGGTGTTTAGAAGAGTACTTATTTGAAATTTTAGTCAAACTAGAATTTTCGGGACATTAAATCTTGAGAGTTCTTTTAAAATCCAGCTTAATAGGTATGTACTTTTGCAGCTTAAATGTACGAGAGAATATGATATACGCACAAAAAGCTTACTTGCACTATAATTTGATACATGGTATTAGTCTGATTGTGGTAGTCTTCAGTGGAGATTTATCATCATTTAATTCGTGATATAAGGTAATGAATTATTATGGTTTATTAAGTTCATGTATCATGACAATGAAAGTAGTTTTAACCGTAAAGTTTCGATAAAAAGTCTAACGTAAATACTTAGCTGAATTTTATTTTTTGTAGATTGTTTGATAATCTTGCAACAAAATTTAGCTTGGTAATTTTTATTGTATTAGAGTGTATTAGTTGAAAAAACTAACTGCTTTAAAATATCAATTTTCTTGAAATATGACAATATCAAATGTCCATGTAAAATCGTACAGGCACAGTATTTGCAATATAATTGCATTAGCTTTTGTAATGACAAATCGATTGTTTCTATGTTAAACTTAAATCACAGATAATTACTTAATAACTGACACATTTTCCCAGACATATTGACTGTATTCCCCCGTGATTAGAATTTAAGAATATTGAACCTTAATTTAAAAGAAATTGTCGGCAGTTTAACTGCAACGATGGATTTAGGTAAATTTGCTCCGTGGATGACTAAAATTAGGTTGAAATAAAATTTCGACCAGGCAACTTTTGTCCTGCTTTATATACAAATTATGCTATTGTAGACGTTCCTTCTGGATCAAATCCAAATTATATTTCTTATTTTTTAAATAGGCAGAATCGATTTTAAATAAATTGCCTACAAGTTTAATTTTGTATTACAAATGTACTTAGCTCTTATTTACATTTAATTCAAGATTATACTGATGGTATTAAATGTATATTTTATCTCATTTGAAACAATATTTTGGGTAGTTTTGACTAATACATTTAAAAGTAAGTGTTAGTTTTCCTAATGCTTTCTTCTAATTAGGTAATGCTAATTCGTATCATGTTATTAAATATGTTTAATGAATGAGCGATGTTTTAAATTTACTGCACATACTATTGCTATTGCCCCAATATGAAAGGCCTGGAGCAGCGCAGGCGCTGCCAGTTAGTCCAATGAGAAAGCTTTGTATTTTCGTGATATTTAAGAATAATAATAAAAACAAGTACGAGTACTGGTTATTGTTTTATTTTCACCTTTGATATAATTAATTTATCACTTCTAAAGAACAAATGTTATATTTAAATACTAACATAACAAAGGAGATGCATTATTACACACACGTTAAAAAGATCTAAACTATATAAAAACTTATTTAAAAAAATATATTTACAACTTATATAATATTAGTAAAGTTTACATATTTTTTTAACAATACACTTAGAGATACATTAGGTCGGAAATAATTTTATGAATTTTACAAATAATAGTATTTAAAACATATAAATTTACGTCTTCTCAACAGTAGATGGCGTTGTAATTTTTAATATATATTTTAAAATAGCTTTTTCGATTAATAAATAAATAAATATCTAACATCTTTACGACTAGCTAGCCTGAACATTTAATTAAACGAATTATATTTAATTAAACGCCTTTTTCTCCATCTTTTCTAGAATTTTGCTTCTTTTTCTTCATACTTTCTTCGTCACTTGATGACGACGACTGATCTCCAAGACTATTGAAATAGTCGGGTGGATATTTTACAATCGAAGGACGATTTGTAAGACTAGCTCTTCTTATCGCATCCGCAACGAGTCTATCAGCTATGTTGATCAGAGGTGAGCCAATTACCGGTTGACCGTTTCTGTAGATTATCTCTTGAGGAATTGACGCGTTCCCAATAAAACCTGTTAATAACACATTTGTGTAAATTTAAAAGAATTTTATTACAAGTAGCATTTAATATTTACAACAGACATAATAATCCCAATTTCTAAAAATAACTCTAGAAGAAGAATCTACAGGAAATCTAAAATTGATTTTACATACATCTGTCATCACTCATATACTTGCCTATACTTTATTCACAGGGGAGATTGGTTCGTGACAGCAGAGCTGAGACCATAACATTGGTAATGCTCCTTCTCATCAACAGTCAATGGAAACTGGAGTGGGCAGTTTTGGACTTCTACTAACTGTGGTCAAAACCCCGTCCGTTGAGCAGTGGTAGGCATTATGCAGGTTTTTTGACATTTCACGAACATAATAGAAGAAACTTTTTAATATTAAACCGCCATCTGTAGGAAGCTTTAAGAACTTTTTGAATTTTCTCATATTCACTTCTAATTCGCAGAACGAAGTAGAGTGACCAATTCTTTTAAGCCCGCACGTGCGGCACTACGGGTAATTGTGATCCACTACCTCTTATCATACTCATCCTGAGGATGTCCTATGCAACAGAGGGAAAATTAAACAGCAAATGGACAGGAGCATCTTCTTGCATATGAATATAAAGGACTCGTCTCAACAACTCAGTGTGGCAGAATCCCTTCTATGAACTAATTTTAGGGACTCGCACTATGTTCAGCACTGGACTTTAAACAAGCTGTAATTAATGAATGGAATATTATGCGACGCCTTCGGTATACTTTCCGAAGAAGTTGCATTAATATTCCATTTTCTATTCCATTATACATATTCAAGTTTTCCGTGTTCTGTTCCAACATAAAAATTGAAAAGCTTTCTCATCTTTGTAATTAGAATGAGAGAAGCGTCCGATGTGCAACAAGTATTGCAGCTGCTTCGGAAGCGGCCACCACGACAAATCCTGTCAATTCTAAAGAGGTCTATGTCAAATACCTCTTCACAGACGATGACTTACTAAAAACGGTTAATCAGTATGTATAATTTTCATCGATTATTGGAATTATTTGTATATCAATCGCCTCGCTACTCTTGGCTAAAGGGTTTAGGAAGGCAGTACCAGACGTTTCGCACTCTCACCTGTTTACCATAGTCAGTCTGGATTGGGTTTTTTACACGCGGGCGGCTATATTCATAGCTCTGTAATAGATTTTTTTTTAAATTAAGTGTAGATGATGAATAATACTTTTTTTTATAGGAGAGGGAGCAAACGAGCATACGGCTCACCTGATGGTAAGTGATTACCGCCGCCCATGAACAACTGCAACACCCGGGGAATTGCAGATGTGTTGCTGGTCTTTTAAAAGGAAAAGGCTCTAAAAAAAGGAGGAGGCTCGTTTCTTGAAGGACCCTAAGTAGTATCGGTCCGGAAAAATCTCTGGTGGTAGTCGTTCCACAAGGATCAACATTTGCAACGAAGAAAGCTTCTTTTAAATCGCACAGCGGTGGACCGGCAGTCATTCAGGGGGCATGAATGGTATCGCGAGTTTTGTCGCGATGTTCGATGGTGAAATTGTGCGACTGGAATTAGTCCGAACAATTCCTCAAAGCACTCCCCGTGGTAAATACGACAAAATACGCAAAGAGATGCAACATCTCTTCGCAGTGTCAGTAAATCAAGATTGGAAAGAGCTCGGTCGCCGACGATTCGAACAGCTTTGCGCTGGATGCGATCAAATGGAAGGAACTGGCACTAGAGAGCCCCGGCCCAGAGATGGGAACTGTATTCCATGTGCGGCCGAACCTGCGTCTGGTAAAGGTGCAAGCGGTGAGCCGGCATGAAGTTGCAGAGCGGGACATACCGTCCCGCTCTGCTGAGCACGCCAAGCTTTTTAGAGGCCAATTTGGCCTTCTCTTCCAAGTGACCACGAAACTGCACGTCACTCGATATGTCGACGCCGAGGATTCCAATACTGGCTGAGGCAACAAAGGGAGTGCCTTGAAACTGAGGAGATACGACGAAGGGGTTCTTTTTAGCGGTAAACGCGCAAACTTGTGTCTTCTGTGGATTAAACTGGACAAGATCTAGCCCCCCTAATCCGAGACTTTGTTCAGCAAAGACTCGACTTCAGACACAATTTTGTTCCGGTACTCGGCAACGTTTTCCCAAGAATAATTGACACGGTCGGTGTATAGAGCATTACCAGTGCTGTCATCCACATAGCAATAAATGTTACCGGTTTGCAACATAACATTGATATGGAGGAGAAACAGCGTTGGTGATAGCACGCCACCTTGTGGAACTCCAGTAGTAATAAGCTTGTAATCGGAGCATGCACCGACCTCTCATCTACAACGACCTTGACCTCCGGTCTGCAAGAAAGCTGGTGATTCAATTGCACAATTTCTCGTAAAGCTCATAGGAAGGGAGATTCGAAAGAAGCGCTTTGTGCCAAACCCGATCGAAGGCCTTCGCAATGTCCAAACTAATGGCCAATGCCCTTGGACTCTACTGCCTACGCCCATCTATGAGTCAGGCGGACCCTAGATGTAAAATCGTACTGTCCTAGCATAGCAAAAGCCTATTCACTCTTGCTTTGAAAACACCCAGATTGTTCGGATGGAAAGCCTGACGACGACAGATAACTTCACTCCTTTGATGGACTCATTAAAGCATGTAATTTCTGTACACACTCTCCGAAATGAAGATGCATTTCGGAGACTGTTTTTTATATATGATAGACTGTTTTTTTAGATGACAAACGAGCACACAGTCCACTTGATGGTAAGTCGTTGGTGTGGCCAATAGACATCTAGATCTATCCTCGATTACGAATTAAAATGCAGATGCGTTGTCACCCGTGAGGACTAATATGGAATGCCTCGTTTCCAGTAAAAAGGGTCTCCAGTTCTCTAACTCACCATACGAAACAGCAGCATTAAGCTACTATTTTACGCTGGTATTTTGTGAGAGCATGGTCATTCCCCGGTCGAGCCGACCCATTCGTACTATAACTATACTTCTAATATAACTGCAGCATCGCTCTACCACGTATAAGAATTCCGAAAGAAATACTCTACGCCTGTGCTTGAGGATGAAAAGATTGGTTTCAAGTGTAAAAAATTCAGGTAACCTTTAATAAGCCTCGTTATTGTTTACATTTCTTCGCAAAGTCCAATTTTGTCGGTGGCATTTAGAGCATGATTTACCCATTTGTGGTTGCAGTTCTCCCTACACGATTGGGCTTACGCTTTTTATAAGGTGAAAAACTGTCCCGACGTGAAGTGTCGCCGTACCCTTGCTAGATCACCTAGTTTCCTTGGGGCTGCTTTGGTCCTGCACTCAGTGAACCTTTACCCAGTCTATCAGGATAGAGGATAAGCTTTACGCTAAAAGCTTGTCAAAGAGGCTACGGTACCAAAAATGGTAGCAACTGCACAAGAAATTGTTCTACTCGTACTATCACTCATAGTAAACCACCTACGGTCCGCAGTGATACTCACCATACTCGTATATCACACAAAATTTAATTTGACTGCACAATAGAACGTAATATGATATTCACACATTTATAGCTAAGCACTTTCCGTCACCAACATGTAGCCCCAACAAAACATTCACAACTTGAAGTATTCTTTACTACTTACATTGTTAATTAATTTCATATTTTACTACGTAATTGTTTTTGTTTATATTCCATTTAATTTTTAATGAAAGGAAAAAACTACTAATTAAAAGTAATTCGTTATCAAATTGAAATTCTGTGATCATTATGAATATATGATGTAGATATCTGGGTTATTTGTTAAAGCATAGAAAACAATTTATTTATTTAATAACGTTTGCGTATTTATAGCAAAAATTCTATCAATTTTAACATGAAGGGTGTTGTAAATCAAAGACAAATCAACGTCAAAACATAAATTATCTTCCAATATTTACATACAACAGCGTAATATATATTCCATTTCATCTTTTACCTTAAGATAAAAAGGATATTTATACATCGAAAACAACTTCGCTATTACATTGTGACTTATCGAATAATACCAAATATCATCACATTTTGAACTAGAAATAAAATATTAATATTACTTTATCACCTACATAATTAAGGCACATTTACGAGCTACGGTTTCATTTACGAGCATTAGGATAAATAATTTTACACGTATACACTGGAATGTTTATTGTAAAGTATTTGCACAACCTTTTAGGTTACCGAATTTCTTAAGACTGTAATCACAAAATCATATTTAATCTATTAAATGACTAGTAATTAAATAGGGGAATGATACGACATGAACGTTTATCAGACTTAAATTAATACTTATAGGAGATTCGATTCGCTAACTATATACTTAAGACGTAAGAGCATTAGCTTGAATAGGAAGAAGAAAATACATAAAAGTAGTATTTTGTTCGCATTTTAATTATCGTTGTGAAATAAATAATATGGAAAAGCACTTTACGTACGCTACAAATTTTTTGAACTTTGCTTTTAATACTTATACATTCTGGGAGACATTGAACAGTTTTGACTGAAACATATTATCTTTACTTTTATATTACAATTTAAATAATAGTTTGAAATTTATTTTCAAACTTAAAATGGTGGTATTTTCTGTATAAAACGTATACTAATGTGATGAAACAAGTGCTCCGATAGTGATATACCTCACATTTTTGTATGAATTTTGGCATCTTGAGATACCTATCATCGTTATAGACTGTCTTCGGAGCTGTCTTCAAAGTTTCTCAAAAACTTCGCAACATGACGCATTTTTTTAAGAATAATTTTGTTAAAAATATTTTAGATATCTGATAATTTTCAATTAATTGTCATACGCAAAAACACTATCGATTGCGGCCATATCTACAGAAAGTAAGAAACATCGAGCAGCCAATAAATTCAAATAAAACTGTTTTTATCAGTATGACCTAAACTCAATACTTCGTTCGGTACGAGGAAATTAATTTTTTAAAGAGTAACGGTATATTCTCCATCCTCGTGCTCGGGTTTTGGTTCCGTAGCTGCACGCT